CCGTATCTAGGAAAACCAAAGTTCCAAAGGCTGGGCCTAATATAGTGTATAAGAGGTCATACAATAAGTTCTGTAGTGATTCCTATGTTGATGTAAATAATATTTGTTGGTCAGTGGTGTGTAAATGAGAAGCAACCAGACGCTGCACTTGACACTTATGAAATTGCTTATCCCGTAAGCACACACCCATTAAGAAAAATTACTGTAAAAACTGTTAAATCCCTGTGGATTGATGAGGAATTGAAACATTTTATGGTTGAGAGGGAGGAGTCAAAAGAAATGGCAAATAAGTCTGGCTGCACATCCGATTGGCAAACGTACTGCAAATTGAGAAATCATGTGACTAAACTGAATAAATAGAAGAAAATACTCTATGAAACAAAGATGAATGATAGTAAAAAGCTTTTTAAATGAAATTTTGGGCAAAAAGGCAAACTCGGCTCAATCATTCATTTGAATCAGATGGCTCATTCATCACAAAACCCACTGATATTGCCAACTACTTTAATGATTTTTTTCATTGGCAAGATTAGCAAACTTAGGCATGACATGCCAGCAACAAACGGTGACACTACACATCCAAGTACACTACCAGTGAAAAGTTTGGACACACCTACTCATTCAAGGGTTTTTCTTTATTTTTACATTGTAGAATAATAGTGAAGACATCAAAACTATGAAATAACACACACGGGATCATGTAGTAACCATGATGTTAAACATATCAAAATATATTTTATTTTTGAGATTCTTCAAATAGCCACCCTTTGCCTTAATGACAGCCGTGCACACTCTTGGCATTCTCTCAACCATATTCATGAGGTAGTCACCTGGAATGCATTTCAATTAACAGGTGTGCCTTCTTAAAAGTTAATTTGTGGAATTTATTTCCTTCTTAATGCATTTCAGCCAATCAGTTGTGTTGTGACAAGCTAGGGGGGTATACAGAAGAGAGCCCTATTTGGTAAAAAACCAAGTCCATATTATGGAAAGAACAGCTGAAATAAGCAAAGAGACACAACTGTCCATCATTACTTTATACATGAAGGTCAATTAATACGGAACATTTAAAGAACTTTGAACGTTTATTCAAGTGCAGTCGCAAAAACCATAAAGCGCTATGATGAAACTGGCTCTCATGAGTACCACCACAAGAATGGAAGACCCAGAGTTACCTCTGCTGCAGAGGATGTTCATTAGAATTACCAGCCTCAGAAATTGCAGCCCAAATAAATGATTCACAGAGTTCAAGTAACAGACACATCTCAACATCAACTGTTCAGAGGGGACTGTGTGAATCATGCCTTCATGGTCGAATTGCTGCAAAGAAACCACTACTAAAGGACACCAATAAGAAGAAGAGACCTGCTTGGGCCAAGAAACACTAGCAATGGACAATAGGCCGGTGGAAATTTGTCCTTTTGGTCTAGAGTCCAAATTGGAGATTTTTGGTTCAAACCGCTGTGTCTTTGTGAGACGCGGTGTGGGTGAACGGATGATCTCCGCATGTGTATTTCCCACCGTACAGCATGGAGGAGGTGGTGTTATGGTGTGGGGGTGCTTTGCTGGTGACACTGTCTGATTTTATTTAGAATTCAAGGCACACTTAACCAGCATGGCTACCACACCATTCTGCAGCGATACGCCATCCCATCTGGTTTGGGCTTAGTGAGAGTATAATTTAAACAGGACAATGACCCAACACATCTCCAGGCTGTGCAAGGGCTATTTTACCAAGAAGGAGAGTGATGGAGTGCTGCATCAGATGACCTGTCCTCCACAATCACCTGACCTCAACCCAATTGAGATGGTTTGGGATGAGTTGGACGGCAGAGTGAAGGAAAAGCAGCCAACAAGAGCTCAGCATATGTGGGAACTCCTTCAAAACTGTTGGAAAAGCATTCCAGGTGAAGCTGGTTGAGAGAATGCCAAGAGTGTGCAAAGCTGTCAAGGCAAAGGGTGGCTATTTGAAGAATCTCAAATATAAAATATATTTTGTGTTTAACACTTTTGGGGTTACTACATGATTCCATATGTTATTTCATAGTTCTGATGTCTTCACTATTATTCTACAATGTAAAAATAAAGAAAAACCCTTGAATGTGTCCAAACTTTTGACTGGTAGTGAATATATGACCAAATTATGAAAGACAAAGCATTGTAATTTTGAATTCCGTAAAATGAGTGTGGAAGAGGTGAAAAAATGGTCTTTCAACAATAACAAGCCACCGGGGTCTAACAACATGGATGGAAAATTACTGAGTATAATAGCGGACGATATTGCCACTGCTATTTGCCAGATCTTCAATTTAAGCCTACTAGAAAGTATGCCCTCAGGCCTGGAGGGAAGCAAAAGTCATTCCCTTTTACTGGCTCAAATAGCTGACCAATCAGCCTGTTACCAACCCTTAGTAAACTTTTGGAAAAAATTGTGTTTGACCAATACAATGCTATTTTACAGTAAACAAATTGACAACAGACTTTCAGCATGCGTATAGGGAAGGACATTCAACAAGCACAGCACTTACACAAATTACTGATTTGGCTGAGAGAAATTGATGAGAAAGATTGTGGGGGCTGTTTTGTTAGACTTCAGTGCAGCTTTTGACATTATCGATTCATAGTCTGCTGCTGGAAAAGTTTATGTGTAATGGCTTTTACACCCCCTGCTATATTGTGGATAAAGAGTTACCTGTCTAACAGAACACAGAGGGTGTTCTTTAATGGAAGCCTCTCCAACATAATCCAGGTAGAATCAGGAATTCCCCAGGGCAGCGGTCTAGACCCCTTTTTTCAATCTTTACTAACGACATGCCACTGCACTGGCTTTGTGGAAATTGAGAAATTTTAGGTGACTAAACTGCTTGGAGTAACCCTGCATTGTAAACTGTCATGGTCAAAACCTATTGACACAACTGTAGCTAAGATGGGGAGAAGCCTGTCCATAATAAAGCGCAGTGCTGTTAAGGCAGAGCAATCAACAAGGGTCGGAGGCCAAGCAGTTGCCATACCAGGCGGTGATGCAACCAGTCAGGATGCTCTCTGGTGCAGCTGTAGAATTTCTTGAGGATCTGAGGACCCATGCCAAATCTTTTCAGTCTCCTGAGGGGGAATAGGCTTTGTCGTGCCCTCTTCACGACTGTTTTGGTGTGTTTGGACCATGATAGTTTGTTGGTGATGTGGACACCAAGGAACTTGAAGCTCTCAACCTGTTCCACTACAGCCCCGTCGATGAGAATGGGGGCGTGCTCAGTCCTCTTTTTTTCCCCTGTATTCCACAATCATCTCCTTTGTCTTGGTCACGTTGAGGCAGAGGTTGTTGTCCTGGCACCACACAGCCAGGTCTCTGACCTCTTCCCTATAGGCTGTCTCATCGTTGTCGGTGATCAGGCCTACCACTGTTGTGTCGTCTGCAAACTTAATGATGGTGTTGGAGTCGTGCCTGGCCATGCAGTCATGGGTGAACAGGGAGTACAGGAGGGGACTGAGCACGCACCCCTGAGGGGCCCCCGTGTTGAGGATCAGTGTGGCAGATGTGTTGTTACCTACCCTTACCACTTGGGGAGTTATGGTCAGATTTGCCAAATGGAGGGAGAGCTTTGTATGCGTCTCTGTGTGTGGAGTAAAGGTGGTCTACAGTTTTTTTTTTTTTCCCCTCTGGTTGCACATTTAATATGCTGGTAGAAATTAGGTAGAACGGATTTAAGTTTCCCTGCATTAAAGTCCCCGGCCACTAGGAGCGCTGCATCTGGATGAGTGTTTTCCTGTTGATTTATGGCCTTATACAGCTCATTCAGTGCAATCTTAATGCCAGCATTCTGACTACTGTTCAGTCGTGTGGTCGGGTGACACAGAGGGACTTCTGAAAATTGCAATTGGCTCAGAACAGTGCAGTACGGTTGGCCCTTAGATGTACACAGAGAGCTAACATTAATAATATGCATGTTAATCTCGCCTGGCTCAAAGTGGAGGAGAGATTGACTTCATCACTACTTGTATTTGTGAGAGGTATTGAGATGTTGAATTCACTGAGCTGTCTGTTTAAACTACTGGCACACAGCTCAGACACCCATGCATACCCCACGACATGCCACCAGAGATCTCTTCACAGTCCCTAAGTCCAGAACAGACTATGGGAGGCACACAGTACTACATAGAGCCATGACTACATGGAACTCTATTCCACATAAAGTATCTCATGCAAGTAGTAAAATTAGATTTAAAAATGCACCTTATGGAACAGCGGGGACTGTGAAGCAACACAAACATAGACACATGCATACAAACACATAACATATGCACTGTACACATGGATTTTGTGTTGTAGATATGTTGTAGTAGAGTAGGGGCCTGGGGGCACACACTTAATGTGTTGTGAATGTATTTTAATGTTTTTTTAAATTGTATATAACTGCCTTAATTTTGCTGGACCCCAGGAAGTGTACCTGCTCCCTTGACAGGAAATATAATCAGAGATCCATAATAAATACAAATACCCAGAAACACTAATGATTTGAACTCCTCCTCTGCTGCTGCTTGTGGCGCAGACACACTGTAGAGAGACTGTAGACCTGATACGTGTTTTGTAGTTCTCTTTTAAGTAGTTTGTCATCTGCTGCATATGTAGGTTTAGCTAGGTATCTGGTTAATATTTCTGGTTTCTTTTGGATTCTATTCCTCAAATGCTGCAGTTTACAGTACCTAATACAAGAAGTCATTGCCTGAGGCCTAACAGTTTCACATGGGAAGTTATGTTGTCTAGCCTCCTGCGCTAACATTTTACTGTCCTAATTTCCCTACAGCCTTGTTTGTCGAACGTGTCCAGCTGATTAAGGACAACATGATGACCATCAGTTGAGAGCACAAGACACCGTGGCCTTGCTTAGTGACGTGCTGCACCCACCTCTGTCCTTGTCCCTCCACCCGTCTCCAGTTCTTCATCCCTCCAGCCCTCTCTCCAGTCCTTTACCCCTGTCTCTGCCCCCACCCAAACCATCACCATGGGGGCTGAGAAAGACGCCGACACCTTGTCGACTGGCTCCATGCGTCTGAAGCAGGAGATCTCTCTGCTCCACGGGGTCTGCCTCATCGTGGGCAACATGATCGGCTCGGGCATCTTTGTGTCTCCCAAAGGGGTTCTCTTCTACACAGGCTCCTTCGGGCTGTCTCTGGTGGTGTGGGCCATCGGCGGGGTCTTCTCCGTGTTCGGGGCTCTGTGCTACGCCGAGCTGGGAACAACCATCCGCAAGTCTGGGGCCAGCTATGCATATATCCTGGAGTCCTTTGGAGGCTTCCTGGCTTTTATTAGGTGAGGTTCCCCCCTCTTATTCCACTTTCAGATGTATATACAGTGAGGGGAAAAAAGTATTTGATCCCCTGCTGATTTTGTATGTTTGCCCACTGACAAATAAATGATCAGTCTATAATTTTAATGGTAGGTTTATTTGAACAGCGAGAGACCGAATGACAACACAGAAATCCAGAAAAATGCATGTAAAAAATGTAATAAATGGATTAGCATTTTAATGAGGGAAATAAGTATTTGACCCCCTCTCAATCAGAAAGATTTCTGGCTCCCAGGTGTCTTTTATACAGGTAACAAGCTGAGATTAGGAGCACACTCTTAAACGGAGTGCTCCTAATCTCAGCTTGTTATCTGTATAAAAGACACCTGTCCACAGAAGCAATCAATCAATCAGATTCCAAACTCTCCAACGTGGCCAATACCAAAGAGCTCTCCAAGGATGTCAGGGACAATATTGTAGACCTACACAAGGCTGGAATGGGCTACAAGACCATCGCCAAGCAGCTTGGTGAGAAGGTGACAACAGTTGGTGCGATTATTCGCAAATGGAAGAAACACAAAAGAACTGTCAATCTCCCTCAGCTGGGACCATAGTCACCAAGAAAACAATTGGTAACACGCTACGCTGTGAAGGACTGAAATCCTGCAGCGCCCGCAAGGTCCCCCTGCTCAAGAAAGCACATATACAGGCCTGTCTGAAGTTTGCCAATGAACATCTGAATGATTCAGAGGAGAACTGGGTGAAAGTGTTGTGGTCAGATGAGACCAAAATCGAGCTCTTTGGCATCAACTCAACTCGCCGTGTTTGGAGGAGGAGGAATGCTGCCTATGACCCCAAGAACACCATCCCCACCGTCAAACATGGAGGTGGAAACATTATGCTTTGGGGGTGTTTTTCTGCTAAGGGGACAGGACAACTTCACCGCATCAAAGGGTTGATGGACGGGGCCACGTACTGTCAAATCTTGGGTGAGAACCTCCTTCCCTCAGCCAGGGCATTGAAAATGGGTCGTGGATGGGTATTCCAGCATGACCCAAAACACACGGCCAAGGCAACAAAGGAGTGGCTCAAGAAGAAGCACATTAAGGTCCTGGAGTGGCCTAGCCAGTCTCCAGACCTTAATCCCATAGAAAATCTGTGGAGGGAGCTGAAGGTTAGAGTTGCCAAACATCAGCCTCAACCTTAATGACTTGGAGAAGATCTACAAAGAGGAGTGGGACAGAATCACTCCTGAGATGTGTGTAAACCTGGTGGCTACAAGAAACGTCTGACATCTGTGATTGCCAACAAGGGTTTTGCCACCAAGTACTAAGTCATGTTTTGCAGAGGGGTCAAATACTTATTTCCCTCATTAAAATGCAAATCAATTTATAACATTTTTGACATGCGTTTTCCTGGATTTTTGTTGTTGTTATTCTGTCTCACTGTTCAAATAAACCTACCATTAAAATTATACACTGATCATGTCTTTGTCAGTAGGCAAACGTACAAAATCAGCAGGGGAGCAAATACTTTTTTCCCCTCACTGTAGGTTTCTCATTGAGAGAATCTATTTACCAAAGTACAAAATCTATTTTATGTATAGGGCTTTGAGCATCTATAAAAGCTCTATATAAATTGTAATTTATTCATTAATTCTCTAATTTCTTCTTGTTTTTAATTATCAGGCTGTGGACATCCCTGATGATCGTGGAGCCAGCCTGCCAGGCTGTCATAGCCCTCACCTTCTCCAACTACCTTGTGCAGCCCTTCTACCCCACCTGCACAGCCCCTTACGATGCTGTGAGACTCATAGCAGCAGCCATCATCGGTAAGATGAGCTGAGCTCACTTATTTTCCTCCCTCTGCCTGTTTTGAAGTACGGAGATACTTCCTGAACTTGTCCAATAAGAACACAGATTTCTGTTCTCGGTTGCAAAATGTTTTTCTACTTTGTGCTACTGAACTCAACCCAGAAGTTTGATCACACTACTACATTCCTTTTGATGTTTGTCCTCCCTTAATGCTTACCTGCCCTGCAGGTCTTTAAAGTGCACCTGTGTGTTTACTTTGTAGCTTTCATATCCTGTTGCATTGCTGTGGTTTTCAGGGGAATATGCGTGTGTTTGTGTTCATTTGGAGCCCCTCAAGGTCAGATATGTGCTTTGTTGTCTGACAAACATGGAGAAGGCTCAGAAGGTGTTCTGTTGAATCACGCAGATATAACAAATCAAAGGAGCCTGATGTGGTGTTTAGTTGAATGCCCTCAGGAATTAGGCCATGCTGTCAGTGCTCTTTCTCTCTGGGCCCTGGTTAAACATTCACATTCAAACACTTCCTTCATGAATGATGAGTGAGTAAAGGAGGACTGATTCTCTGGTTAGTGTAAGAGGCTGAGGTCTATGCTGAGGCAACCTGACATCCTATTAGTGAACTGAAAAGCTTTACTTATTTATCGTGTTTTAGGGAAATGAAGTTGCTGTACTAAAAGCTTAGAATTAGTTTTGGGGATTTTGAGTGTCCTTTACATTGTAACGGTATATGCTACACATGGTTACATGTTTCTGAAAAGGTGTGGCTATAACAATACCCTATGTGAAAGAATCCATGTTGCCAAAACACAGGACTTGGTGTACATAAATGCCATAGGCCATAACAACAGCATGATTCTCTTGTCATGGAAGCATTTGGTTGTCGTGTGAAGCCATTGTAGAATGGCCTCTGTAGCTCAATTGGTAGAGCATGGCGCTTGTAACGCCAAGGTAGTGGGTTCGATCCCTGGGACCACCCATACGTAAAAATGTATGCACACATGACTAAGTGGCTTTGGATAAGAGCGTCTGCTAAATGGCATATTATATTATTATAGAAATTCTCCCTGAAGCATAAAAACACTGACCAGCAACATTAGGACCTTGTTCAAACCCTTGATTTAATTTCCGATGTATCTATTCGCACACAACCGCTAATCTGTTTGATGTTCATATTACACTGTATGCCGTCTTGACATGAGTAAAATATGTGTAGTAAGATCCGCCTCTCTTCAACATCAGATTTGGAAATGTTCTGTTTACACTGTCCTTCCATTAGCTTTGGATGTGGTGTGGCCAAAGCCACATTCCTGTTTCCTGTGTGTGCATGCAGCTATTAACATACCATAGAATAGACCAGGGGTATTCAACTCTGAACCTATGAGGTCAGGAGCCTGCTGGTTTTCTGGTCTACCTGATAATTAATTACACACACCTGGTGTCCCAGGTCTAAATCAGTCCCTGATTAGAGGGCAACAATGGAAAAAGCGCAGTGGGAACTGTCTTCGAGGTCGAGAGTTGCGTTATTAAACCCTTCAAACTCAACTCTGGACCTCGACGCCAGTTCCACTGCATTTTTTCATTGTTCACCTCTAATCAGGGACTCGTTTAGACCTGGGAGATCAGGTTGGACAGAAACCCTACGAGGTCCGGATCCTGCTGGTTAATAGTTGAATACCCCTGGTATAGACCAACAAAATAAGGATAGCTATTCAAAACGTTACACTTGTAAATACAGTAAGAGGCTTCAGGCTTATTTTCCTTTCCGGCTCTTTCTGGGATGACCATGCAAAAGCCTTGCACATATCCACTGGGACCAGGGTACATGCCAGTAGAGCGGAAATTGCTATGCAGCACAGTGATTTAAGTCAAATCCCTCACTCTCTGTGCCTGCAGGTGCACACTGTCCTGCTGAATGTTATCTGATGGGGATTACTTTACATGATGGAGGGACTCCTGTTCTCCTGGACTGTAATGTTGTTATCAACTCTCTGTAGTGGTGGATAGAGATGGGTTTATCTGACTAAGTGATAATGCCCTCGACGCCGGTGTTTGGAGGATATATTGGCACGGTTTGCCGGCCCTCGAAAATATGCTAAATGGCTTATTATTATTATTTATAACTTCCCTGCCTGGGCTGATGACAGTGGTTTGCGCAGTCAGATGGAACAGAGTAAATAGGCATTTTAACGTCATAGATTTAGCCGGTGGTAACTTGTGGAATAGACACCAGCTGGAATACGCTTTTAATCAATCAGCATTCAGGATTAGACCCACCCGTTGTATAACTGGAATAATTTCTAAGCCATTAGCCTTATCACACTGTTACTCTGCTTTATTGGTAGCATTTCTAGTTCCACTAACTAGGCTTGCTTTATCAGGTCTGAATCTCTATCCGTTTCTAGTTCCACTAGCTAGGCTTGCTTTATCAGGTCTGAATCTCTATCCATTTCTAGTTCCACTAGCTTGGTGAGTCAGCAAGTTGTTGTACTCATGGTAAACAGATTTTAACCAGGATTGCCATGGTCAATTTCAGGTTTTCTCTATACCTGAGGACTCCCCTGTCAACCACACACACACACACACTGATCTCTCCTCCTTCTAGTTCCCCTGTCAAACCCATACTGATCTCTCCTCCTTCTAGTTCCCCTGTCAAAACCATACTGATCTCTCCTCTTCTCCTCCTCCTCCTAGGTCTCCTAACGTGTGTGAACTGTATGAAGGTGAAGTGGGGGGCCATCCTCCAGGTGGTCTCTACAGTAGCGAAGGTCTTGGCTCTCATCGTCATCATCATCACTGGGATGATCAAGCTGATACAAGGTATGGCACCTGGGGATACACCTGTGTAACCATGACAATGTCCTGCTGCCTTCATGATAGAGCTTTACTTGCTAACCGGTCATATGGGTGTGCCATATTGCTAACCGGTCATATGGGTGTGCCATATTGCTAACCGGTCATATGGGTGTGCCATATTGCTAACCGGCCATATGGGTGTGCCATATTGCTAACCGGCCATATGGGTGTGCCATATTGCTAACCGGCCATATTGCTAACCGGCCATATGGGTGTGCCATATTGCTAACCGGCCATATGGGTGTGCCATATTGCTAACCGGTCATATGGGTGTGCCATATTGCTAACCGGTCATATGGGTGTGCCATATTGCTAACCGGTCATATGGGTGTGCCATATTGCTAACCGGTCATATGGGTGTGCCATATTGCTAACCGGTCATATGGGTGTGCCATATTGCTAACCGGCCATATTGCTAACCGGCCATATTGCTAACCGGTCATATGGGTGTGCCATATTGCTAACCGGCCATATTGCTAACCGGCCATATTGCTAACCGGTCATATGGGTGTGCCATATTGCTAACCGGTCATATGGGTGTGCCATATTGCTAACCGGTCATATGGGTGTGCCATATTGCTAACCGGTCATATTGCTAACCGGTCATATTGCTGTTGGTGGTGCATGCGTTGAGTACAGCTGGAAAATAGCTAGGCTATATAACCCAATTCTATAACTCATTAAACAACAGTATATCCAATTAATAACTATAATTCATCGTTACCCCCCCCCCCCCTCTCCTCTGTCTTCTTCAGGCCAGACGCAGAACTTTGAGGATTCGTTTAAGGGTTCTAAAGTGAACCCTGGGGATATGACCCTGGCTCTGTATGCTGCGCTGTACTCCTACTCCGGCTGGGACACACTCAACTTCATCACCGAGGAGATCAAGAACCCGGAGAGGTGAGGAGGGCCCCCCCCCCTCATGATGTTTCTAGAAATACACACAGGAAAATAGACCAAGTTGTTGGCTCCACCATCCCTGCACTGCAATACCTTGTCATTCCTTGACTGTCTTTGTCCGACTGTGGTGGTGGTATATAGAAAAGGAACGTAGGTCCTGCCCGTCTGGTTCCTCTCGAGGTTTGTCTCCCCACAAAGGGTGACCTTGTTGTTTTTATAAAGGGTTCTATCAATTTGTTTATCCATTCCTACCAGGAACCTCCCGTTGGCCATAGGGATCTCCATGCCCATCGTCACAGTGATCTACATCCTGACTAACGTTGCCTACTACACTGTGATGAATGCTGAAACCGTGCTGGCCAGTGAGGCTGTTGCTGTGGTGAGTTCTACTCAGGGTTTGAGGGTATGGATGAGTTGGCAACTGCCATGTGAAGTCAATCATGATCAAGACACACACACACACACACACACACCATGGTTAAACCATTAGCAGGTCACGAGGTAGGTCTTATTGACAGCATCTGTCCAGTGTAGCTAATTGACCAGCTGTTGCTGTGTTCTCTGGTTCCTCTGAGGCACCAGCTGGACCAGATGCACTGCTCTCCAGTGAGGATAGATCACATGATAACCAGGTTAAGGAAGTCATATAGTTGATGAGGTTGGCTTGTACACAGGACAATGCTAATCAATGATGATCATGTAATTACAGAATGCCCTGAGTAAGGGAGCGTTTTAGGCGCGTTGACAGTAGCTAGCAGAGATGAGGTCAATTCAGGAAGTAAACAGAAAATCCCTATTACAATTTTCTCCATGGAAAGACGCTGAATTGCTGAATGGACTGAATATAAATGGAATTGACTGACTCTGGTTGCTGTATACAAATCACAGCTGTGAACCTATGCTGTTTTCTTTCTCTGCAGACGTTTGCTGATGAGGTGCTGGGCTGGGCTTGGTGGCTAATCCCCTTGTCAGTGGCCATTTCCTGTTACGGAGGACTCAACTCCTCCATCATCGCTGCCTCCAGGCTGTTCTTCGTGGGCTCCAGGGAGGGCCATTTACCCAACGTCCTCTGCATGATCCACGTCAAGCGCTACACACCCATCCCAGCCCTGCTCTTCAATGTAAGTGAATGACGACTTAAATGTCATGTCACACATTGATGGGTGGGTAGTGTGATGTTGCATATATAAGCTTTATAATAATTATCTCTGTAAATCTCCTGGTCAGGTTCAGGTTCTATCCTGTATGGACATTACTAATGTATTTTCCACCCGGGAGCAGTGGCTCCATGACAACGCACAATCAACCATGGGTCCTCCCTACAAAGTCCATGGCCAATGTGTCTCCTGCAGGGCGGCATGTCTCTGATCTAGGATCAGATTGGTGAAGTGTGTTCTGTGTGTCTCCTGCAGGGCGGCATGTCTCTGATCTAGGATCAGATTGGTGAAGTGTGTTCTGTGTGTCTCCTGCAGGGCGGCATGTCTCTGATCTAGGATCAGATTGGTGAAGTGTGTTCTGTGTGTCTCCTGCAGGGCGGCATGTCTCTGATCTAGGATCAGATTTATGAAGTGTTCTGTGTCTCCTGCAGGGCGGCATGTCTCTGATCTAGGATCAGATTGAAGTGTGTTCTGTGTGTCTCCTGCAGGGCGGCATGTCTCTGATCTAGGATCAGATTTATGAAGTGTTCTGTGTCTCCTGCAGGGCGGCATGTCTCTGATCTACCTGTGTGTGAAGGACGTGTTCCAGCTCATCAACTACTTCAGCTTCAACTATTGGCTGTTCATCGGTCTGTCCATCGCCAGCCAGATATACCTCCGTGTCAAAGCTCCGGACATGCACCGGCCCGTCAAGGTAAGGTTTTAATACTTATTTTAAGGTGATGCTAAAAGTCCCTTCTGGATGGACAATTTTAAGTTCTATTATATTTTAAAGATGTTATTAATTGGTATAGAATGTAGCTCAAATCCTTGAAATTACCTTTTCAGTTATATTTTTTTATCAACTGCTTTGATGAATTTGTGGGAAGATGATGGTTGGTAGATTTCCTCTCCATCTCTTTTGTGCACATGTTTTCTCTCACCCCCTCCCCTCTCCTCTCTCTCCAGCTCTCCCTCTTCTTCCCTATAGTATACTGCCTATGCAGTGTGTTCCTGGTTGTAGTACCACTCTACAGCGACACCATCAACTCTCTGGTGGGCATCGGCGTGGCTCTGTCTGGAGCTCCAGTGTACTACATCTGTATCCACCTGCCCCCCTCCTCCAGACCTGCCTTCCTGGGCAGGATGCTCGGTGAGACCTCTAGCCTTTTCTGTAACCCTAGCCCCGCTCTACCATCATATGATCAAGTGACACTTTGCTTCTTGAAAGTCCAATATCTTAAACTTGACTGCTGACATGCGAAACATTTTGGGACTGTATCGAGAGTGGACTAATAGTTTGAGTGGATTTTTCCTTTAAGAATGTTACAGGTTGTATTATAATGATTAGAGCTGACGTGCTTCAAGAGGAGAGATTGAAGGGGAATAATAGGTTTGTTTAAAGCCAGCATATACAGTGGGAGAAAAAAAGTATTTAGTCAGCCACCAATTGTGCAAGTTCTCCCACTTAAAAAGATGAGAGGCCTGTAATCTTCATCATAGGTACACGTCAACTATGACAGACAAATTGAGGGGAAAAAATCCAGAGAATCACATTGTAGGATTTTTAATGAATTGATTTGCAAATTATGGTGGAAAATAAGTATTTGGTCAATAACAAAAGTTTCTCAATACTTTGTTATATACCCTTTGTTGGCAATGACACAGGTCAAACGTTTTCTGTAAGTCTTCACAAGGTTTTCACACACTGTTGCTGGTATTTTGGCCCATTCCTCCATGCAGATCTCCTCTAGAGCAGTGATGTTTTGGGGCTGTCGCTGGGCAACACGGACTTTCAACTCCCTCCAAAGATTTTCTATGGGGTTGAGATCTGGAGACTGGCTAGGCCACTCCAGGACCTTGAAATGCTTCTTACGAAGCCACTCCTTCGTTGCCCGGGCGGTGTGTTTGGGATCATTGTCATGCTGAAAGACCCAGCCACGTTTCAGCTTCATTGCCCTTGCTGATGGAAGGAGGTTTTCACTCAAAATCTCACGATACATGGCCCCATTCATTCTTTCCTTTACACGGATCAGTCGTCCTGGTCCCTTTGCAGAAAAACAGCCCCAAAGCATGATGTTTCCACCCACATGCTTCACAGTAGGTATGGTGTTCTTTGGATGCAACTCAGCATTCTTTGTCCTCCAAACACGACGAGTTGAGTTTTTACCAAAAAGTTCTATTTTGGTTTAATCTGACCATATGACATTCTCCCAATCCTCTTCTGGATCATCCAAATGCACTCTAGCAAACTTCAGACGGGCCTGGACATGTACTGGCTTAAGCAGGGGGACACGTCTGTCACTGCACGATTTGAGTCCCTGGCGGCGTAGTGTGTTACTGATGGTAGGCTTTGTTACTTTGGTCCCAGCTCTCTGCAGGTCATTCACTAGGTCCCCCCGTGTGGTTCTGGGATTTTTGCTCACCGTTCTTGTGATCATTTTGACCCCACGGGGTGAGATCTTGCGTGGAGCCCCAGATCGAGGGAGATTATCAGTGGTCTTGTATGTCTTCCATTTCCTAATAATTGCTCCCACAGTTGATTTCTTCAAACCAAGCTGCTTACCTATTGCAGATTCAGACTTCCCAGCCTGGTGCAGATCTACAATTTTGTTTCTGGTGTCCTTTGACGGCTCTTTGGTCTTGGCCATAGTGGAGTTTGGAGTGTGACTGTTTGAGGTTGTGGACAGGTGTCTTTTATACTGATAACAAGTTCAAACAGGTGCCATTAATACAGGTAACGAGTGGAGGACAGAGGAGCCTCTTAAAGAAGTAGTTACAGGTCTGTGAGAGCCAGAAATCTTGCTTGTTTGTAGGTGACCAAATACTTATTTTCCACCATAATTTGCAAATAAATTCATAAAAAATCCTACAATGTGGCGCAGTGGTCTAAGGCACTGCATCGCTGTGCCACTAGAGATCCTGGTTTGTGTCCAGGCTCTGTCGCAGCCGGCCGCGACCGGGAGACCCATGGGCGCTGCACAATTGGTCCAGCGTCGTCCAAGGTAGGGGAGGGTTTGGCCGGCAGGGATGTGGGTTTGTTTCCCACGGGGGGCCAGTATGAGAAGAAAAAAAAACATGTATGCATTCACTAACTGTAAGTCGCTCTGGATAAGAGCGTCTGCTAAATGACTAAAATGTAGTTGGGGGCACTATAAAAGTTGTAACACTTTGCTCTGATGAGCTGTGCTTGGTTTTGACACTTCTTGGTTGTATTTCCTTTACTCAGACGTGATCTCCCTGAACACCCAGAAGCTGTGTCTGTGCTGTGTGGTCTCACCTGACCTAAACCTGGACAACATCCCTGAGGAGAAGCTGGAGTAAGGGCTAGATGGAAGGTGTGCAGGGATGGAGGGAGACACCAAGCCATAGGTGGAACATACAGCCCACCACCATAGCTACACTCCACTGACCTCCTCTCCACAACACTTATCGAGAAGCTGTTTTTCTTCTTTTTTTTACCCCTGGACCCGGATTTCCTATGGGACTGCACAGTGAGTGTTGTGTTCAGTGTTATGGTTGGCCTGAGGAAAACCACTTTCTACTGCTGGTGACCCACTACATCCACATGCAAACAGCACAATGTAGTTCACGCCTACTAGTTACACCTATGGAGACTGTCAACTATGGAGACTGTCAACTATGGACGTTGAACCATAAAAAAATAAAAAAAGGCTAGAAACCCAAATGGAGATTTTAACAGGATGTACTACTGACCATTTTAGGAGGAGGTTTTCAAATAGCAGGACCTACTGACCAAAGATTAGGTTTGAAGTTAGTGGAGATTTGAAGTGTCTGTTGCTTTATCTAGATATTGAATGAGTTGGATATTAAAGTGATGTTTTTTTTTTTTTAAGTTGGAGGGGTTAGTCAAAGATGCCTGTTCTGGCCCGGCTTTACTTTCCTTAGGCCAGGTGTGGAGTGCACTAACAAACTGCCTTTCAATGACCTGTCTTTGACAGTTTTAGGTCTGTACTCTCCTGTACTGGACAAGGGTCACTGAAGATTATTCCATCCACTTAAGTGATCGTGTCAAGTGACTTTGACATATGTACTGTATGGAAACTGGCATGGGTTGAGCCATTATGTCTTTTGAAGTAATGTTTATTGGTGAATTTGACCGACTGGATTAGAAGAACAAAGTGTTTCCTATTTGGGTCTGTGTTCTTTATTTGTCTCTAGCAAGTTAAGCTATTCTCCCTGATGACTCACTCGTTCCCATGACAAAAGATTGCTGTTTATGTTCATTTTCTGTCCTGCGTTTCTGTTCACAGCTTTATTTCTCACCAGTGTAATCTGTCCTTGATGGACTGACCTCACATACCGTACATAGCACTCACAGGATATGATAACCTATTCCAGGGGTTGGCAACAGTCCGTACATAGCACTCACAGGATATGATAACCTATTCCAGGGGTTGGCAACAGTCCGTACATAGCACTCACAGGATATGATAACCTATTCCAGGGGTTGGCAACAGTTTTTAGGACTTTCGTTTTTTGGTAAAGGGAAAAGTCAAAATACTTTAAAATCAGGAATTCAGCAAAAAATGAGGTTAATTTAGGAAGTCTGTTCAAGTATTCCCACAAATAAAAAAATATCTAGTCAAGATATGAAATTATTATTTTCAAATACAATTTATTTTTGGGCTTAGTCGTAGTCAATTTGCAGTGTAGAAATGGTTGTCATTTTGTCGTCCCACCCCGTCCATATGCTCTGAAAGAAATCGGCCTGTGGCTGAAATCTAGTTGCCTAGCTACCTCTGGCCAATGCCCTTAGTACACCAATCTAGATAGCTTTCTCAGTCAGCGTTGAAGTCGGCTACAGCGACATGTTAACAGCACTCAGTAGTCAAATTAGTTACATTTTACTGAGATATTTCATTTCAAACCATAATAGTTTCTGAAGAACCAAACTGAGTTGCTGATGTAGAAATGGGAGAATGTAGAATGGATGTTTCCAATGATATACAGGACTGGTCACAATTACGTTTTGCATGAAAACATATATACCCTTTTTTGCAATTGAGATGGTTATCCTATTCATGAAATCTCTCAGCCATAGAATTGTCATGCATGTCTCACTTTCAATTGTTCTTTTGTCATCTTGTTTTAGACCTAGAAATCCTACAACATGAATTTAGTAGGATCCAATGCCATATATGCACATTCATGCCATTTTTAATTGAACATCCTATCAGCTGCATTCCTATTAGAGGAATGCAACATCTTCGTTACAGTGCAATTCATTGAGACCCCAGACCAAATATTACAGCTACTGGCCGGGACATTTTGATTTCCATGCACCATCTAGTGGTAGTTTTATGAACTTCAGGTTGTTGAGGGATGAGTCAGTCAATGTTGTCGAGTACTGTCTGCATTCAGGGGACTTGAAAAATCCAGACTATAGTAAATGCCATCCAAAAGTTTTTGTTCTGTATTCGCTTCTTTTATTGGTGTATGTATACTGAGCAAAAATATAAACGCAACTTGCAACTATTTCAAAAGATTTTACTGAGTCGCTGGATATTGGCGAGAACTGGAACACGCTGTCGTACCTGTCGATCCAGAGCATCCCAAACATGCTCAATGGGTGACATGTCTGAGTATGCAGGCCATGGAAGAACTGGGAAATGTTCAGCGTACAGAAATTGTGTACAGATCCTTGCGACATGGGGCAGTGCATTATCATGCTAAAACATAAGGTGATGGCGGCGGATGAATGGCACGACAATGGGCCTCAGGACTTGTCATGGTATCTCTGTGCATTCAAATTGCTGTTGATTAAAATACAATTCTGTTAATTGTCCATAGCTTATGCCTGCCCATACCATTACCCCACCGCCCACCATGGGACACTCTGTTCACAATGTTGACATCAGCAAACCGCTCGCCCACACGACGCCATACACGTGGTCGGCGTTGGATCGGCCTATGGTAGAAATTAATGTTTAATTCTCTGGCAACAGCTCTCCTGAACATTCCTGAAGTCAGCATGCCAATTGCACACTCCCTCAACTTGAGACATCTGTGGCATTGTGTTGTGTGACTTAACTGCACATTTTAGTGTCCTTGTATTGTCCCTAGAACAAGGTGCACCTGTGTAATGATAATTATGTTTAATCAGCTTCTTGATATGCCACACCTGTCAGTTGGATTGATTATCTTGGCAAATGAGAAATGCTCACTTACAGGGATGGAAACATACTTGTGCACAAAATTTGAGAGAAGGTTTTGTGCGTTTTTATATTTGTATTTTGCTTTAATGTAACGTTCTCTCTTATTTCATCCATAGCTGTTCACCAAGTCCCTTCACCTGTCAATCAAATTAATTTGTTTGTCTTACATGAACTGATTGTGAAATTTAAACAATTCCAAGGATGTATGACTGCCATTTTAATGTGTTTGGAGTATTTTTATGTAACTTTTGATTGTTGTCAGTGGGCAGGTATACAGCACATATGCCCGTTTGACATTTATCAATTCTTCTGGTTGGATTAGGGCCGAACAAATGTAGAACGTAGACCCATCTCACTCGCATTATCTATGTCACTCTTGGTGACGTCACTTCTTCTTCCACTCCTTTTGGTTTTTGTCACTTTTTGCCTTTTTACTCAAGATGACTGCATGACTATGGATTCCAAACCAGTGACATTTTTAACAAATGAACTCACCAACTTGATACAGTCCATCCACAGGAATAAGTCCAGTTTTTTTTAGGTAATATTTTTTGCCGTTTCCTACCAGCATTCCTCACTCACACGGTGTATACAGATGTGTGTACAGCATGTTCCTTTACAAGTCTAAGGTTTAACTTCACAATGATCGCTCATCACTTTACAAGGACCATCACTTTACAGAACAACATTAGGCATTTCTGCCTCAATCTTTAGTACTGGTGCACTGGTATCTTTTGTAGGAATGTTTATATTTGGGTGTCTGAACTTTTGAATTGTATTTCTCGCATGGGGGGGGCAGACTTGTGGTGTACAGTTTCTCTGGTTCATCTTGTTAGAGTACTGTGTGTGTGTGTGCGTGCGCACACACTAAGCGTGGCACAAATTTAATTACATTTCAAATATACACTGAGAACTTACCATGACAGACTGACCAGGTGAAAGCTATGATCCCTTATTAATGTCACTTGTTAAATCCACTTCAATCAGTGTAGATGAAGGGGAGGAGACAGGTTAAAGAAGGATTATTAAGCGTTGAGACATGGATTGTGTGTGTGCCATTCAGAGGTTGAATGGGAAAGACCAAAGATGTAAGTGCCTTTTGAACGGGGTATGGTAGTAGGTGTCAGGCCCACTGGTTTGTATCAACTGCAACGCTTCTGGCTTTTTCAAGCTCGACAGTTTCCCGTGTGTATCAAGAATGGTCCACCACCCAGAGGACATCCAGCCATCTTGACACAACTGTGGGAAGCATTGGAGTCAACATGGGCCAGCATCCCTGTGGAACGCTTTCGACACCTTGTAGAGTGCAGGGGGTGTAGCCTTCTATGTAGTTGTAATGCACAAGATGTATTACGTGGGAGATTCAGTATGGTCGTGTTAGCCTGGTCCCAGATCTGTTTGTGCTGTCTTGCCAGCTCTTACGAAACCAGGCTATGGTGGTGTGTCCTTGAAGTTGTTCCTCTCATACCATGAAGAGAGTCTTTTGTCTATCTGCAACATCTTTACTGTCCATATGTTTATGTCAATTGAATGCATTGCACGGTGCACATGGAAACATACCTCCCAGTCCCTTATATACCCACCACCCATCAATTCATCCTTCAGAACATTTAACTGAAGCATTCTCATTCCATTTGCATTCCAATTCCGTTTGCTCATGTTGTTGTCATGCTACGGTCTTGTCATTCATTCCTATGCAGCTGGTTGTGGTCAATATGTTGTGGTTTATTGTATCTATTAACAGTAAATGTTCCATTGACGGTCAAGTTGTAGTCACTCCTAGTGGGGGTTCTTTAATGGTCCTGTTGATGTCTACATGTTGAGTCATTATGTATAAAAAATGTATGCACGCATGACTGTAAGTCGCTTTGGATAAAAGCGTCTGCTAAATGGCATATTTTATTATTATTATTATTATTATTATTATTCCAGTGTGAGTCTGACTGACTGCTTTGTTCCATTTTGTATTCGTTCAATTTTCTGATGGAGAAATGTACAGTGTACCAAATGACAAACAAGCTTTACAATGCAAAGGTGTATATACTTTGTGGTTTAGAGTGATTCAGATATGTGAAGTGGAATTAAAATGTAATAAATACAATTTGGTGTTATGAGATTGCCATTGCTGTTTGTTGCATTTTCTGTCCAGCGTTATTTCTCACCAATATAATCTGTCCTTGATGAACTGATAGTAATTTAGTTACTGTTGCATTTAGGCCACTTTTGATCTAACGTGGATGCTATCATTCTATTGGCCTTGCATACCATAGCACACACAGGATATGTTACAATATCACCAGTTACTGACAATGTTAACTGTTACCATGGTTGCCCTATTGGTGTCCAGAAAGGAACACGTAGATCCGTAAATTCTGTTGACGTTCAGCCTATGCCCTTATTACACCAAGCTAGCTAGCTACAATTGTTTAGCCTATGCCCCTAGTACACTAAGCTAGCTAGCTACAATCGTTTAGCCTATGCCTTAGTACACTAAGCTAGCTCTGACCTTTTAGCCTATGCCCTTAGTACACCAAGCTAGCTCTCTATGACCTTTTAGCCTATGCCCTTAGTACACCAAGCTAGCTAGCTACAACCTTTTAGCCTATGCCCTTAGTACACTAAGCTAGCTCTCTACGACCTTTTAGCCTATGCCCTTAGTACACCAAGCTAGCTCTATGACCTTTTAGCCTATGCCCTTAGTACACTAAGCTAGCTCTCTACAACATTTTAGTCTATGCCCTTAGTACACCAAGCTAGCTCTCTTAAGACAGCGTTAAATTCACCAGCAGTGACCCGTTAACAGCACTCTCTGAATTTAGCACTTGATATTCAAATTAGCTACATTTTACTGACATATTTCATTTCAAGCCTATCTGAAGAACCAAACTGACAGTTGCTGACATAGAAATGGGAAAATTTAGAAAGGATCTGTTTCCAATGAAATAAAACGAACTGGTCTCAATTATGTTTTGTATAAAGAAATATACAAAAATAATAATGGTTATCCTATTCATGAAATCTCAGCCATAGACTGGTCATGCATGTCTCACTTTCACCTGAGTGATGGGTTAGTTCTAGATGGAGTTGCCAATGTGACTCAACGCTGTAAAACAGGAAATAAAGCAGTTCAGATTT